CATTCGAACTGAGGATGACTCGAGCATTCTGACAGAAGATAAATCTGTAATTTTATTGATGTTTGTAAAAATGGTGATACGCCAGCTGGATGTAGTACTTGGTAGCAATCTCTAACTAGAGGCGTTTAATTTAACGCGTTCATTGAATTAACGCGTCCCAATTAACGCTGCGAAACGATGATAAAGAAGAGATAGTCGCGTTCGTCGTTCGGCTCGAAATCGCGAACCACCGCTCGTCGTACACCGATATTCGCGTTACACCGCGGTTTTATCTTACGGTTATTGATATTTCGTCGCTGCGATCGTGTTACGAATTTGTTGCACGCGTGTGACGCTCTCGTTTCGTTTATGTCGTTCACCGTGCATCAGTGTTTTCTTTGCCCGTCGCGTTTCTCGGCAAACTCTCCTCGATTTCTCATCTATCACAACTGTGAATAGATAAAACTGCGTTACTAATAAGAGACAGTGCGTGGGCAGGGTATATTCTAAAACGGGTAGTCATCTTTCAGGGCCACCGACGGCTTACAACCCACCTATAACCGTAGATCCTTCGTACATTCGAGCTCTTCCTGTTAATAATTCACGCATGAATCGACGATGAAAAATTTTCAATCATTATGTTAGAGACTTACTAATGCACTTGCGAGGAAAAGAAATGTTCATTTTTTGGGGATGAAAGGGTCGAAAGCGAATCGGGATCCAATTTCTCTCGAGACAAACTGTTGCAGCTGCATACTTGCCGCTCGATCTCGCGCAAGACTTGCATCTGCGCTCGGTATCGAGTGCAGCCACGGCAAAGGACGTTAACACGGAACACCGTGAGAGAGTAACCTGTCTGACACGCCGTTTTATCCGTGCCGAAAGAAAAAACAAATACCTACGCAGTAGGTCCACGACGAACAAAAAGGGGGGTAGGAGAGGTCGAGCCTAGGGATCTTCAATCCATCAAAGTCAACGCGCGACACCTTTCTACCCCCGTGTTGGAACCCGTCTCTTTTTATCGATCCCCGTAGAAGAAGAGAGAGATTTTTGTTAGGACTGTTAGACCCGTTGAATGTATTACGAGCATGTCGAACTGAACTGACGTACTCGTTACATCCTTCGAACGAGTTTGAGATTAAATTTCAAGCTTCTCATATAAATATTACATTTTTTTCTATTGTTTGAAAGACGGAAACGTTGATTAAGTTAGGCTGTCATCGGGACACGTTTCTTGTTCGTTCTCGTTAGTACCGTTCTTCGTTGATTAGCACCCTCGTCCTGCGAAGAAATCAACCGATTATCCAAGAATAAATTGGCCTGCAACTAGGCGATTTTTCTTGCACGGATAAAGCAGAAAATGAATGACCACCGATTCCGAAGGATGGAACGATTCCTGGTGCTTCGAATGATCAAAGGGAAGGAAAAAGAGCAGCAACAAATTGGTGAAAAAAACAGTAGCCAGCACGAAGGTAATAAGAGTGAATTGGGGATCGCTGGTAGGATGTAATGGTGGCAAATGATCGAGTACCATGACTGTTTGGGAATTGACAAGCTCTACTAGAGGATAATAGTAGCAATGAGTCGACGATATTTTTTCTCTCTTCTCGAACACTGCTAATCAGAGATTGGAACTTCAAGAAAATTATTGTAATTGAAAATTCAGAGAACACAATGTTTTATTATAATTTTCGCTTTTTATTCGATCAATATTCGTCGGTGAAAATGCGATTTGTAATTGGTTCAATGATCGACGGGTGTATGAGATAGACTGGAAAGAAGAACGAAGCGATGCAGCAGCGTATGCAGAAGAGTTATGCGAGGCACGTTGTCGCGACCGTTGTTCTCGTTTTCATCCGACGGATTTTTCAGTGGGCAGACACGCGAGAGCGGAGATTTACGAGGCCATTGTTTCTTCGTTATGCAGATGGGAGGACGCGAGATTCCGCGACACGCGAGGAACGTTTAATTGCGCGATTAATTGCCTCCGCTCGAGCCCCCTTTTCTTTCAATAGACAATTCATGGAACTGTAACTCATTTTCTAGATGAATTTCCTTTTGTTTACAATTTTCTATGGAACGTTCTATCGTTTATTATTTATTATATTTTGATCGGTGAATTTTTCAAAGAGAAGGACACGTTTATCGCAGAAAATTTATTCACCCTTCGACCCGAACGATCGACCTCGACTCGAGGCATATAGATTTATTTCTGAAATTAGTATGCATACCGCAGCAGCCAGCCAGTCGAGAAAACGACCACGGACGTGTGAGCGAGCAAAAGTGACATTAGATCGAGATATGTATCGATGAAAAAGATCGCGGCATTCTTTTCCCCGTTTATAAATCTTATTAACACCGCGATCGAATCGATCAATTGTAGATCGAGGTTACAAGACAATCGAGGAAGTATGTATTTCAATCAATGGAAAAATGAATTTATATTCAAACGAGCGATTGTCAAATATTTGTCGAATGACAGAAAACGAAATAAATAGAAATAAGTAATGGAATGCAGTGCAATTTCATTAAACGCGAAAGGAAACAAGTGTAAATTTCCACGGACAATTAATTAACTAAGACCTTTGATTACGTGGATTAGAAAACAACATTCTTGATTGTTATTAAACTAGGCAAACGTGGATAGCGACAATTAAATTGAATCGTTCGATTTCCTTTGCCAACGGAAAGTTGTTCGATTTCCTTCGTATTCACAGCTTTCCACCACCTCTGACAATCGACATTTTATCTATTACCAGACATTCTCTGACATTCTGAAGCTGCTGATTGACAAAGTGTTTTTATGATGTTCTTGAACCGTGGCATTTCTCAGCTAAGCTCAAACTAGTAAGAATCTTTCTCGAGATATTCCTGCCCTCGAGCTGTTCACTTTCAATGGAACATTAAATTAAACGATCATTGTTGTTTCATCATTCTGATCGCAACTTAAAATTGAAAAATGAACTCTTCTTCTCAGTAACACACAATACGTGTAACATTTTTCAAACGATAAAAATCAAACGAATATCTTTCTTTTGACTTGATTCTTTTCGATGGTGATTATAAAAGAAGACTTGTTCCGTCAGAATTCATAAGAAAATGTCGAGTTGAAACGGACGTCTGGTCGTAAGCGGAGGCGGCTTTATTGAAATGCACGTAACAGAGCAATAGGGTGGGTTCTGAAGTCGCGTGGACAACACTCCCACGGAATATTAAACGTGTCTCCGTCTCTCCCTGTTTGTCCAGTCGAACCGCGCGCGTTCGCCACCTACCTGCAACATTTTCGCGACGAGGTAGGTGCACAGGAACGAGGATGCAATGCGACGATCGCGAAACGATCGATCAACGGGAATCACGAGGCTTGGAGAGATCAATCAACTTATCTAAGAATGAATCTCGCACAAGTTACTTTAATGAATTGCTGATAAATAAGAGATTATGGTGTAATTTGTTCAGGCGTTGTCGAAGATTACATTTCAATTTTCGATAAGAAGGAATCTAGAAAGTAATTGTTCAATTTATCCGAGCCGTTTCATCAATTTATACATCCTGTATCAACAAAATTCGAGGCAAGTCTAAAGAACCAGAAAGGAGACCCGATTCATTTTCTGCATCCTGCACAGGGTGCACCCATCTCAGACCGTCTGAAACATCCTCGAAGGATGTCCATGTTTGCGTATCCCGAACTGGCATCCTCCAGTTTGATGATCACGAATGAACTCATTACCTCTTCTCTATCTGGTATTCATTCAGAGAAGCGTTTCGCGCGTACTCGCTCGAGCCGTACTCTCGGACGAGCCTGTGCAAACAGCCGGCGAGGAAAATATTTGCACAGGATAACGCGGTCCCTCATTATCGGGGTAGCTGAGGGGCGACCAGGTGCTGGAACAGGAGCAACGAGAGAAAAAAAGAACGATATCGAACGGTGGACTGAGGAGGAGAGAGACGGCGAAGAAGAAGGAGAGGAGAAAAAACGAGAGTAAGAAAGAAGGAAGGAAAAAGGGAAGAGGTAGATTGATTCGACATGCATAAATTAGAGAGGATGAGCCTTTATACCGTGCGCGACTCACAGGATCGGGATTGGGATTGGAATTGGGATGCACGACGGAGAGGAGTATAAATTGATGACTGTAGGCAAAAGGCAGGGGTTTATAATAATTAATCTTCGTGCGTGTATATATATGTATATGTACCTTCGCCATGTCGCCCCTCTATTTCTTGATCCTCTTTCTCGGAGCTCGAAGCGTGGTTCGCGTCAAAGGCATCTGCTTGCATCCGATGAACATTTTTTTATTTATTCAACATTGAACCTGGCTTCTTGAAATTTTTACGTTACAAATTATTCAATTTCAATTTTGAAGGGAACGGAAAAATTTAGCTAGATACCAATATTTTCTGAATCCGGCGAGGATCGGTGACATGGAGGATCGTGGAACAGCCGGAAGTTAGCTTGGCCGGAAACTAACGACCGGTGACAAATGTGCAGCCGGTGTATTCTCTGGAAAGGCTGCGCACAGCAGTTCTAAGAGGCGATTAGATATCGCGTCGCGGCTGACAATAAATTACCGCGACGGTGGCGAGCGTGTGTGTGGCGCGAGGACCGCACGCTCGTCCCGGTGGTCATTGCTAAATTGAGGAATCATCAGCGAGGCTTAACCGCGTCGCGATTATCGTTAATTGATAAATTCGACGGGACCACGGTGATTTATCGCGCGACCAGTCCACCATATTTCTAACTGTTACTACTATCCATGGTAAATTCATTACCCACGCGGAGTACCAGGAAATCCGCGGAGAATCGCGAAGACATCGCCAGTTGGCTGAGAGTCTCTTTGCTTAGCGACGATTTGCTACTGTCCACTCTGTCCCCTCTCTCTAATCATTCGACTGGTTGAACATAGTATCTGGGGATTATTTTACATGAAAACGAAATGAATTTCTTATTAGGAATAAAATCCACAGAATATAAATCTATGTCGTTTAATAATCATTTAATAATAAAATGTTTATTATCATTTCAGACGTCGAAGTCGTGGCGAGGAGGAGACGAACGGCGTGGTCAGCGAGGAGAATTCACAGCAACAACAGCAGCAATCTAGTTACGTAGGTGGACAGCGGGATACTGAGGAGGAGGAAGAACTGGGGGCGGAAGAGGCGGCGGCGCAAGCGGCCCAGTCGCTGCAGAGCGGCGCCGAGGGCGCCGACCCGGAAGTACACAAGAGGGTTGCTGCCGTGCAGGTGCAGGTGCAGGGTATGGAGGGCGATTGGCGGACCTACTGCGAGCATCCGCTCTCGGTAGCGACCGCGGCGATGCTGAATCTTCAGCAACAGCACCAGGTATCGGCTGTCGCCAGCCATGGCGACGATCCGGCCGCATCCTACGTCTACGAGTACTATAAACTTCCGGAGAAGACCACCGCGGAAGTGAAGTTGCCACCGACACACGAACTTTGGTCCACGTGAGTTTAGAGAATATTTTTTATAAAATAGCAACCATCGAACAGTGGCGGCTCGCGCATAGGCACTATGGAACTGCAGCAGCCCCTATTTCCACGTGATATTATCGATAACATTTAATATAACGAGTCCTTTGTATAATATATAATCCTTAAGTTTAGTAGCCATACCCCAGTTTGTGAAAAAGATACAAAAATCTTTGTATGGAATTGTGCGCTTCACAGGAAGCTCCCGCAGTGCCAGTGCACCTCCACTAATTGTTGCTACGGGCCGCCACTGGCATCGAATCTTTATTTTATAAGAGTTCTAGGTCTATATCTAATAACACGTTGGAAGAGAAAAATTTAAAGATCCTTATTTATGCGAAAATATTTTCAAACTCATTCGCCACGCTTTTAACGAAGCTGTGGCTCGCGATGGCGGCGATCATCGGAACTATCCATTATCGCGCGATTGCATTACTAATGCGAAATGACGCGTTGCCTCGGTGCTAAACCTATGGCATATTAGCTAGATAAAAATCATCGCTTTCCACAGTTATCCCGCGACGCCTTCTCGTCGGTTGAATAACGTAGAAATCGTCTCTGCATCGAATTGCAACAAAATTGAAAAGTTTAAAAAGAAACTACAATTACTGTAAACATGAAATTTATAGAATCTTCTAAATAAAGATATCCCTTCGAGGAAGCGATACGTTTTCAAGGGTCGAAAGGCAGCCGGATTCACGAAGATAGGTTAGCGTGACGACTGGGTGCATCGGGAGAGCTCGATTAGCGCAGATCGCTAGATAGCGACGCGTGTAAACGTCGTTGAAAACACTTTCAGCCTGGCTCGACGGTTTATTAACATCCACGTTTCCCTGTATCTCGATTAATAGTCTGGCGCGCATAATTGACCGCTCGCGGGTAGCATAATTTATCGCGAGCCCCGCGTAGTACTATGTGGAACACAATCACGGCTCTGGGACAAACGGGAATTCTACGATGGTAATGTAAATCGAGGAAATTTCCTTCTGCCGCACACGCTTTACAATTTCTTTGCCTTCCCTTTTTTCTCTTTCCCCCTCTTTCTTCGAGACACCGAGATTAACGACGAGCGACGACGTTTCTGTCGTTCAAATGGATTTTCACCGTCAAGGAAATGGATTTATTGGGAACGTTTATTGCGCTATTACGCGAAATTTATGACGCTCGGACACGGTATTCGTTGCGCGCGTTTGAAGATTCAAACTTATAAACCGTACGGGTCCATTTATTTCTGAAACGGCGTAGAAAGCGCTCGGCACTATTCGATTTAAATTTATTTCCTTTCTTTTTTGAAACTTTGTTGAGAAGCGGAACGCGAAGTATTTGAGAGCAAAAAAGAAATTTGCAACGATCGGAAGTCATCCGAGAGGAAACGAATCAACGATCTCCCCTTAAAAGAAAAAAAAAACGACCCTTCACAGTGCGCCCCTGAATCGTGCGACACAATGAAATTGGATTAAGCTGGCGCTGTTCGGTGTCTCTTCTCCTCGAGCAGTTTTAACGATCCACCGTGGTACAAATTGTCGAGATGCTATCGCGTTTCCCGCAGGAGCTGTACCAGCCGAAAGTTAGAGGGAAAGAGAGGAGGCTGGTGTGCAGATAGCGGAGCGGATAAAGCGTGAGCGACAAGGAAGCGTTCTGAAGGGACAGGGAGAAGGGAAGGAGATGCGAGGGAAGATTAGGGCGGCGAATCTCCCCGTGGCGAAGTAACGGAGGAGACTCTCCTGGATGATCTCGGTGGAATCACTGTTACTTACTGCTGTAAGGAGTTTTAACTCTTTAACGCCTAGATTTTTTTTTCAAACAGGGGAAGGTGGAAAAATATTAAATTAAAAAGAGGTTGAAACTCAGAGGAATTGAACGTTTGAAATTTGAACGACGACCGAAATGTTGAATTTTCAAAAGACCTGATGGTTATTTTAAGAGCATCAGTGTTCGCATTCGCCCTCGTCCCCCATGGATCCGTACGTTAAGGATTCTCAACAGTAAATTACAAAATATGCTAAGCGGCCGATATAAATCAAAACTTGGCAAGGGTAGTTGCGAAGGGATGAAGAGGCAGAGAGAAACGGCCTCGTTTACCCGTGGCTGGTCCGTCGTGTTGGTTGGATTGCACGGGGGTTAGGGAGTGTCGATCGGTAGCCAAAATAAGGGAGGAGGGAGCCCCCGTGTCACGGATCCACCGCTTTCTCTCTCACGGCCTGGAACGTTTGCAAACCGAGCAAATGGACCGGAAGAGCTCGTTGAACGCGATATAAATACGCTGGTGCATCTTTATTCTAACCCGGAGTGCATCGGTTATGAAATTAGCGATTCGTTCGACGGTAGCGGCAGCCTGGTGGTCGCGACCAAGATTTATGGGAGTCAGATCGTCACGGGGGCCGATTTCGTGACGCGCGGTGATTCTTCGAAGGGGAATCGCGATTTCTAACCGCGATAAAACCGTGTGGTCGCGTTTGATACCGCCGCGAAAGCCGGAGAGATCGATGCGCGAGAGATGATCGCCACGATTCATCGACGCCTCCTATCTGCCACCGGTTCGAAACGAACGACCACCTTCGGCAAGAAAATGCTATCGGAAGAATTAGAAAATTTCTTCCATTTATTATGGAAAATTTACATAAAACCTTGTTGCAATTATAAGGAATGAAGTTTGAAAATTGTAAAAATATAAAATGCTAGAAAACTTATGTAGAATCCGAGGAATTCAGGGAATAATGACAACCTAATCAACTAATCCAAGGAAAATCATTCTTCTTCTTCGCGGAACGACGTTTCTTCGGCATCGAGAAAATCCAATCGGAAGATTCGCAGGAAAACGAACGGTTCTCGAAAGAAGTCCAATTAATCGCAATCATGGGGAACTTTCTCTCGATGATTCATGAAAATTCGCGCGAAACGCCGGTCGATTTATCTTACGGTAGCAAAAGAAGCACGTCCGACATTTTTTCTGCCTAGTGTCCTCGATGACGTACGATTTTAACGGTCAACGGTTTATATTATCGACTTTCCACGAGGGAATTCTGTGTAACCTTTCAACGTCGGCGAAGGTTTGTGCCTAACCCAGACCCTGTGTTCACACTCGAAGCGTATATCTTGGCTATTAGTAAGCGATACTCGGCACTGAAAAGCAGAAACGCGCGAGAAGGCTTCGCGTTTATTTCTTTGAGCAAACGCAATCTTCGTTATTTCTTCCATGCTGTAACATTCTTATGCGTTTAAATTTCCATCTGACCGCTGGTTTACAAAGAATGAAAGGGTAAAAGGGCGACGATTAAGAAGAGAATGAATGTATATATGTTTGCTTGGAATTAACTTTATTCCAAAATCTGAAGATATTTTAAGATATTCTAAGAAATAGCAACGATTCAATGTGTTTTTGTTTCTCTAAGAAATTTCTTAATCTTCTGATTAAATATCAGCCAAATGATAGGAGAATTACGCTCATCGAAGATCGTAATTACGCCTCGCATCGGTGTCTTCGGAAAATCTAGGATCACGATAAATTCCCCTATCCTATGGGACGTCTCGGACCTCTGTAAAGTTTGTAAACTATCCTACGAGTGTACTAACGACAGCAGAGATTCCTAGTATTCGCGCAATTCCACTGACACGGGCCATAAAGTACATCGAATCCGGTGAAATTATGAGTTGTGTATTAATTGAACCAGGCTTGGAATTGGAAATAGAAAATAACCCACAGAGACACTGTGAATTATTCGAATGATTTTTTACTTGAATTTGCAAAACCTTACAATCGCGGGAATAAATTATTCGATCGAAAAGGTGCGAGGCGTTTAGTCACGTGTTTCGTGCAACACGTGTCGGAAGAACAAAGTTTACCCACGGCGTGGCTCGATTTTAGCGAAACAATAAATTTCCAATCCCGATAGAACGACGAACGAGCCTTCGACGTGGCTGAAATGTGAAAGTCGGGGTTTCGAAACATTTTCGTACGGACACCGTGATAACGGGGCTGAATTTACGACGTCGGAGACTTGAACGCTCGACAAGGCGAGCTCCTAGCACCGCGGTTACAGTTTTACGCCTTTCGTTATTCCTTCCTACGATTTACAAATAATTTCACGTGTCTAACGATCTCCTTGTGCAGGAAACGTTTGTACGTTTCAAGCCGGGTAACAATAAAAGAATGCTTTGAATTTTAATAGACCTCGGTACCTAGTTAATTTACGTATCCTTGTCATTCGAACTAATTGCAACATCTCACGAGTCAATTATTTAACTACTTTAGTGGTGGCCGGATTTTTGAAGGTGCACGGTTAATTAATTCCTTGTTTCATAGTGACAAGCCCATTTCGTGTTTTAACCTCGATCTGTGAAACTGCCTTACGAAATTAATAGAATAATAATTATAGTTGTTCAAAATAATAAATTTTCAATGAATGAATTTGTAATTAAATACGAGAAGAAGCATGGCCGAATGGATTCATCAACAACGTCCAGCTCGAGATAACGAAGAGAGTTCTTTGAAGGAGGCGTGAAGCGTGTTACCCTTAACGAGCGAAATTATTATTATCCCAGAGTCAAGATGGTCCCATTAAACAGCAGAAAGTTGTGCAACTCGGCAAAATCTCGTTGCGATTCCGGCCAGGAGAGACAGATAATGGCGAAGAGAGGGCTGTTACGCACGGTTCGAGTCACTTAAGGCACGCCATGGGGTTGTGGCATCGGCGTACGGTTTCACAGCAAGCCGCCAAGGTAGACCCCATGATCCACGTAGATAGCCGCCTTAATCTAAACGCCCGTGCCTTGAAGCGACAACCACGATACGCGAACCTCCGCCACGAAGAGAATCAACGAATTCTTCGTGCTTTTCAAGTGCGGCCAAGAAAAATCTATAGAAAAAATTTGGAGTTTATTAAAATACCAAGTGATAGCCTAAATGATGAATTTTTAAAGGATTGAAATATTGAATCGATAAGTTATTACGAATTGGTATTTATTGGTAATATGTT